TGTCCGAAATGAAGTCCATACTTTCAAGCAAAAGGATCTCGAGAGCTCTCCAGAAGTATGGGAAAGATTCAAAGAGTATTTCAGGAAATGCCCTACTCTCAATATTCCTAAAGAATAAAAAATCAGCATATTCTATTCAGGCTTGAGACCTGAATTTTGCAACATCGCAGATGCTTCTGCAGAAGGGTCGATATTGGATATTCCGTTGGATAATGCCTTGGAACTTTTTGAGCGAATCGCAAAAAATCAATCGATGTGGCCAAGCGATAGAAAAGTCCAGAGTAAAACAACTGGTATATATGATGTGGATGTAGTGATAGCATTAACAGCACAGATGGAGGCAATAACTAGAAAGCTCGACGCTTTGACCCATTCTATGAATATGGTACAAACTTCAGCTCTGAAATGTGTTGGTTGTGGGGCAAATCACATTACTGCAAGTTGCCCTTTGGCTTCTACTCACATAAGTCAGCCAATAGAGGCCAGTTATGCATAGAACTATCAGAGGTAAAATGGACCTTACCCATACAACTACCATCCATTTGAACAAGCATCCTAACTACGTGTGGGTTGATAATTCAGATCAAGTAAATCAAATGAGGGGTAATCCAGCAGCGATTCAGCAACAAGAAGAAAAGAGGTAATCATTGGAGGATCTACTTATCAAGTATGTCACCAAGACTGAGACAGTGATACAGAATCAGCAAGCCTCTATACATAACTTAGAGAAACAGGTAAGATAGATAGCAGGTGCATTAGCTAATAGCCCAAGATACTCTACCAAGCGATACAGAAAAGAACCCAAAGCAGCAGGTATTAGCAGTTGAAGCTGTGAATTATGCAACTATTGATCAAGCCTACTACACCTGTTCGAGCTTATGTGCCGCCTATCCCATTCTCTCAAAGTCTTCGAAGACCTCCTAAAAAAGAACAAGTTCAAGCTATCACAACGAGAAGCAGAGTTCAGCTGCCAGAAATCGCAATGAAAAAGAAGGGGACTGAGGAGAATCAAATACCTACCACCCGGGAAGAACCGATGGAGCAGTCTGAAGAAGCAACAGAAAATGATCAAAATATAGTTTCAAATAGTCCACAGCTTAAAGCAAATGTTCTTGACACTACACTGACACCTTTGGTCCCTTTTCCTCAAAAGTTGCAAAGAACCAACTTGGAGAAGCGAGCTATGAAATTCCTAGAGGTCTTCAAAAAGTTGCATGTCAACATCCCATTCACTGACACTATCATTCAAATACCAAACTATTCTAAATTTTTGAAGGAGATGTTGACTAAAAAGAGGAAAATACCCGAACATGAAACAATAACACTATCTAAAGAGTACAGCGCCATCATCCAGCACGGGATCTCTCCCAAACTTAAATATCTAGGGAGTTTCACTCTACCTTGCTCCATAGGAAATTTAAATAATATAAATTGTTTAATTGATTCGGGAGCGAGTATTAATTTAATTCCCTTACCTCTTTATAGGAAACTAGGATTAGGAGATCCTAAGATGGCATCTATTATCCTTCAACTGGCGAACCGATCATTGAAACACCCTTACGAAATAGTCAAAGAATTCTTATCAAGGCGGGGGAGTTTATTTTTCCAATTGATTTCATCATCCTCGAATTGAAGAGGCATCTCAGATGCTAATAATTCTAGAAAGGCCGTCCTTGTATACAAACTGAGCCTTGCTAGATTTTTGATGCTAATGAGATTGTCTTGAGGGTGGAGAATAAGTAACAAAGCTTCACCATGGAGAATCCAATCAAGCAACCATCATACTTTGAGGATTGCCAACGAGTTGATCATTGGGAGAGCTACCAAAGCAAGCCAAATGAAGGTTGAATTGTTGGTAGGGACAGCGATGAAAATTTAATTGTGTGGAGGGTGAAAGATGAAAGAAAGAAGTGCAATCAGTGCATAAAATGCAAAGCCGAAAATTCTCTCTTCAAGCCATCATGAATAGCCAAAACAACAAAGTCTAGCTAAAGACTATAAATTAAATGCTTATTGGGAGGCAACCCAATTTCATTACCATTTATTTATTTTTCTTTCTACATCGCATTGCATATAGACTTGTTTTGATTATTATTTGCATTAGATTTAGACACGTTTAAATTTAGAGGGTATCTTCATCCTATCATGTTTTCGCTTAGACCTTTAAGTTTAATGTTAGTTATCTCAAGTGTTTGGGCTAAGTAACACCTGTTACAGATTATTTGATCTCTAATGTTTGATTTGATTGCCATATACAGGAACATGACATCGTGGAACACTCAAACCAACATAGACCAAGGAAAAACATGATGAGGAACATTATCCGGCCATCACCCATAGTCTTCCACGCTCAACAGAAAAATTCAGGGAGTACCTTTGCCCTATTCTTCCCTGTCCCCCCACATTCTTCATTATGTTTTAGGAGATTGAGAACAGTGTCGGGTTTAAGTTGGGGGGTGGGAAAAATTTTAATGTTTTCGATTTTCATATTGTTTGTGTATTTGTTTTTGTGTGATGATAATAATAATAATAATAATAATAATAATAATAATAATAATAATAATAATAATAATAATAATAATAATAATAAAATCGTTAAAACTGTAGATAGGATGCATGCTAGACCGGTTGAAACTTAAACTTGCAAAACTTGATATTATACATGCACTAGACCTGAGCTTGACATTATGATGAAATGAATTGATTCATACATTTGATAGATTGATTTAGCTGGATATAGATGCTTTACCTAAACCATACTAATTAATTATCCTTAGACCAACTTTAGCACAATTTGGGGAGATCTTACTGTTGTAGGAAAATATGGATGTGAATGTGGATTCCTTGTGTGAAAAGTTTGTATGGATTGTCTGAGATTAACATGATAAAATTGGGTGAAAGTCTTAAATTGGATGTCGATTTGCTTGAGTAGGTGTGTGATAAGGCTCATTGCACTAATCAATGCATACATTTTGAAATTTAAAATTTCTCTTTGAAACTTTTATGACTCGAGCAATTAAACCTGTGAGGGTATTTGAAAATTTGATACCTTAAAGTTATCTGATTTGCGAGTCATCGGCCTAAAGCTCGTTACAGGAATAACTTAAAAAGCAATCAGAGATGAAGTTGTCCAAAAAAAATTGTTCTCTTCGAAATCTTTTTGACTCGGGTTATTAAGCCTATAAGGGTATTCGAAAACCTGGTGCCCTAAAATCATTTTATTTGGGAGTTATCGACCTAAAGCCTGTTACATGGGTCTCTAGAAAGATTAAAGGGGATTGCCAAAAAAAAAAAAAAAAGGCAAGTGCATCAAAAAAGCAAAAGCACTTATTGTCTTATTAAGTCCCAACACTTGTTCGAGTGAATTTGATTTTCGATGAAGGATAATTAGCCTAAGTTGAGTCTTGACAGTCGAAGTAATCAATAACTGAAGAATCCTTGTTCATTAATGTGTTGACTTGCAACTAGTAACGTCTACCTAAATTAGAGAGGGTAGGGATAGTAATAAAAAAAAAAAATTCAATCTTAGATCACACACTGAAAAAAGAGTAAAGAAGAATAAATTTGGGAGTGTGTGAATTTTGAGAGAGATGAAAGGATATATTTGACCAAGGAGGGTCGAAAATTGGAACAACTTGTGAATTCATTACTGTCAACTTAGTTCTTCACACCAACACGTCAGTTTTACATTGGTAAAGTGGATATTAGTTTGGTATTGTGATTTTGAAGCAGTTTGTAGATTTAATGCCTTGATTTCAAATCTTGAGGTAAAAAACTAAACGTCTAACTAAATATTTTTGCATGTTTGTGTGTTTATTGTTATTTAAGGTATATTTTTGTTTGAGGACGAACAAAGGTTTAAGTTTGGTGGCATTTGATGAGCGCAATTTATGTATTTATATCACATTATTAAACTTTTAAGTCGTCAAATTATTAATTTATATTTAGCTTAAGTTAATTTTCTTTTGTTTTTAGTGAAGGACCCGTTTTGAAGCAATGGGGAAAGAAAATGATTAATTGGCTATTAATAGAAGTTTGTGGACTAAACCTTAACTAAATAAAAGTTGAATGATAAAAGCCGACGAAAGAGTGAAGAGAAAGACGGACTTGCACTGCATGGAAGAATTGAGGACCCCAAAGCAAATATCAGTCTAATTGGGCCCCTTATTAACTGGCAGTGGGTAATTGGAATTTAATGGGAATAGGGATTCTTGGAAAGAATTGGAGGGGGCGGGGGGGTGTTGCGACTGTAGTGTATCTCTCTCTCTCTCTCTCTCTCTCTCTCTCTCTCTCTCTCTATATATATATATATATATATATATATATATATATATATATACACACACACATGCAAAGAAAAAAAGAGAAGAGAGAGGAGGTAAGCCGGCTGCTTAGGCTGACTTTTATAAATAAACAACACGCGCAATTTGGAGCAGTTTGGAGTAAAAGAGAAGAAAACAACCAGTTACTCTCGCGCAAAAGTCAAGCAAATTTGTCGAATTATTCACGTTTCATCAATTTCTCGGTGATGTTTTTCCAATTTTATGTATTTAATTCCAATCTTATGCTAGGTTAAGTTTTCTCATGTATTGGATAAAGATGAAACTCGTTATTTATTTTTAATTCAAGACACGTGATTTAGTTAAATTCTTGCAATTGTTGATTAATCTTGCATGCTTAATTTTATTATTTGATTGTCTGATCACCAATTAAATAAATAGTTGCTTGTTGTAGCGATGGGAGGTTTACAATATGTTTAGAATACTGGATGATTAACATACGTACAATAAATTTTAGGAATAAGATTTATTACGTGTGCAATTTTTGAGATAATTATAAATTTGAATGCGTTCTATTCATATGAATTCGGATTAGGAATAGGATAGATTTAATTTGTCTTGAAAAGAAGATTAATTACAATAGAATTAACGACTGCCAAGAATGTAAGAGCGAAACTAACTACGTAGTTGAGAATTGAAATAAATAATAATAGATGATTCGTAATCCAATACATTCTTCCAATATACATTTTAAATTCACATTTTACACGAACAACATTCTATCTTCTGTCAACTGACAAAGGCTCAAGAAGCAAGACGCTAACTCCTTCCACACATCACATTTTGCATATGTAGCACCTAAGAGTAACGCTATCATTTCCTCCGGTTTTTCAGTGTCACAATACCTTGCCATTGAGTACACAAACAACATAATTGTACTTACAAATTAGTTTCAGAAACATGGGCCCCAATTATCTTGCATCTGTAACAATAGAAAAGCAGATTCCTTAACATTTCTTCTACAGTGAAACTGAAATAAAACAAAATTATACACAACACACCAATAGATAGAGAAAATGTTGGATGGCATTGGAAAGCTCCAAAATATTTTACAGCAGCAACAAGTGCAAAATATGTTTCAACAGAAATCAAGGAAAATTTTAGTCTAAAGACCAAAAGGTCCCAGTGAGGAATTATTTTGAACCCTCAAACTTCTAGTCTAAAGACCAAAATCAAGTGCGTTTCACGAGGACAAAGGAAAATAAACATAATTAAAAAGAAATAGGACAACAAACAACTGCAAACAAGTATGAAGGATACGTAAGCATGATTTCGAAGAAACCTAAAGACCAACTTATCCCTTCATAACTTACTTGATGGAGCCACTTCCATTATTGATATCAAGCTTTTGGTTGTATCCCATTGATAACTTACCGGATGGAGCCAATTCCTCAGACCCAACTTTAGGTCGGTTGGCCACCTGCAGATATCGATTTTCTCTCTGGATGACCAGTGAAGGCATTTTTGTCACTATCTTTCGCTGGCTGTTTGCTCCTTGGTGGCAATTGAGCTCATTGCGCCTCTTCAAGAGCATGAAAAAACGTGTATAAGTTTCCTTAAGAAAAATACTATGCAATGGGCTTTTACATTAATTATCCAGATATTGTGATGGAGCAGATGCCAACCTGAACTCGAGGCAGATACATTTCTTGCTGGATGATTTTTGGTGGGAGTCGGAACCTCGGCATCAAAGAATAGTCACTTGTATTTTTAAGCATTTGAACTTTTGTTTTTACTTGCATAATAACAAATAACAATACATTATTGAGAGGCAAGAAGCAGGTGACAGTAGCTACTGCACAATTGATCCAGGAAACAGAAAATAAATTTTTGTCACGATAGGTCTCTAACGTCCCAATATGTCTCTAACGGATGATAGGTCGGAGCAGGAGGACTTACCAGCGGCGATCCTTTACCGTGGACAATCGGCGACTGGCGTTGGCAACTGAAAACCAACAATCGATGTCGTGGAGTGTGATTGCGGAAAGAAAAAAGTGGATAGAGAAGTAATCTGCAAGACAAATGAACGGGGTTAGAGAGAGGAATGAAAGGTCGAATCTTGGAGATGAATGATTTGAAAGACTTATTGAAGAAGAGCCCAGATGGATTCTAATAATAATCAGATAAACATAAATGGATTGCCAAAGAGAAGGAAAAAAAATAGAGATGAACAGTCCAATACCATATCACTGTGTCGCAGCTCTCCGTGTTACGGAGAAATAATCTCTCCGTGTCACGGAGAAACAACTCTCCGTGTCTCTCCCTGATGATGACCACACGAAGAGACTTTGTCGTGGTGACGTGTCACAGAGAGACCTTTTTTTTTTATTTTTTTATTTGGTGTTTATTTTTACCTCTTCACTCTTATTGCAATAATTTTATTTAAGTTCATGTATGTTTTTTATTGTATATAATCTAATGATGCGAAGGAAAAATGAGAGAGATTAATTAATCGGACGATGTATGATACAATTTTATTATTGAAATGAATGTTTTATTCTAAAAATATAGAACAAATTAACAACAGGTAATAAAAAATTTGTATTACAGGAATGAATCCATTTTTTTACATATTTTATTATATAATTTTTTTAACATTTAATTTAATAAATTAAATATATCTAAATATCTACTTAAAAATTTAAGTTAGTATTTTTTACTTATAAGGAGCTTTTATAATTATAAGTTTTTTTTTAAAAATAACTTTAAGTAATTTTTTCTACTTACAAGTAACTTTTTACATTTTAGAAATATTACTTGTCATATTATTAGTATTTTTATTTTTTAATATTTTTACTTATAAGAGTGGTTGAGCGCAGAGTGAAGAGATGAGAGTTGGTGGGAGGTATGGAAAGTTACGTATTTCAGTAAATTTAAATTGCCTCTTTTATATTGTAATAAAAATATATCCAACATGTAAGATAAACGACGTCGTTTTTACTCTCTCACTTAAAAAAAAATTACTACAGTGTAACAAAATGAAAGAATCTACTACTGCCTTTACAGTACCTCCAAGATTACCCTTTTTTTTTTATAGTAGGGATAAATAGTTTTTGAATAAATCTATAAAATTAGTGTTTATTTTCTTGGACAGAAATGTTGTAGCGGTAAATTGTTAGCTTTGTATGCGGGAGGCATGAAGTTCGATTCTCCTAACCTCCACTTATTCTTATAATTTTTAACACAATAAATAATAACTAAACAATTCTATATTATTAGTTTTTATTACTAAAATAATCTCTTTAAGAAATTTGTCAACTCAAATTATTATTTCATAATATATATATTTTACCAATAGATTTTATCAATTTATTTTTTAAAATTCAAATTTGGACAATTTAAGTACTAGAGTTTGAAAAACACTTTTCTTTTCAAGGGTAAAAAATAGCTCTAAAAATTACTGTTTTAAAAATTTATTGACTTAAATTATTGTTTTAAAATATATACTTTTATTGTTAGACTTTATCAATTTAAAATTCAAATTTGGACAATTTAAGTACTGATCTTTATTTTTTTAAGTGATCGAAAAACATTTTTCATTTAGGAGGTAAAATATATCTCTAAAATTCATCGTTTTAAAAATTTTGGATGAGCTTCGTCTAAACTCAAAGCTTGTATTTATCATTTAATAACACTTTATGTATAAAATTTATCTTGTCTCGTTTAAGTTCATAAAAGTTTGAAACTTGATCATACATTCAAAAAATGTATTTTTATTCCTTATTATTTTGGATTGTATTAAATTATATCTTCATATGAATATAAATTTTAATATTTTAGAGCATTTATATATTGATTGAAGATTCTTTTAATGTAAATTAATTAAATATTAACAAACAATTTTGCTATATTGGACGATTGTTCAATGGTCGTCCGACGCTCCACCTAAACTCACTCGAGTGGCTGGATCCATCCCTGGGTGGCTTTCTTTTGGCCAACCCACAAACTTTACTCATTTCTCTTCGTCTATGTTGATGAAGATACTGCAAATAGACAAGTGGATGAAAATAAAAAAAAATCTTCAAAATTTTGAATTTACACCACTTTTTAGTTGATTTTTAGATCTGACCCACTCAAGAATCTTTCCAATACTAGAGCATGCTTGAATGAGGTTCTAAATTCTAACCGAGTGTATGCTTTCATTTTCTTCAATTTATTTTATTTTATTTTTTTCAAATAGACAAGTAGTAATTCCATTGATGGTTGATCACATGAGAAATGTCGAAGGAAAAAAAGGGGAAATACATGAAATTGACCCAAATAGGAGAGGCCATTTTCCAAAATGACCCTGACTTTTCCAAACATTTGAAACTATCTAAAATAACCTTAAACAAATATTAAAAACAACCTACTTCATAATTAAAATCTTCTATTTAAGTCCTTAAAAAATTAACAATTAATTTTTCTAAAAATTTGAAAAAATTATTAATGAATAATTATAAAATGGAAAAATCCAAATATAAGAGAGGACCATATAATATAAAAAAGGTTGTTAAAAATAAAAAAGAAATTAAGTTTGAAAAAGAAATTGATAAGATAGGATATCGAGAACAATTATACGCATCACAAGAAATATTAAAATGTTTAAAAGAAAACTTATTAGAAAATTTTGCTAAAGAAATTGTACGATCAATAATCATAAAAGATATACAAGATATCATAGATAAATTAGAAAAAAGGAAGAAAAATATCTCAAAATACGATATGCCCTTTAGAATAGACATAGATATGATAATAGATATTGATATTATAAATTCTCAGACATTACTAGATTTTGAAGAATTACTTAAAAATTTATGATAAGACCAATAAAAAATAGATTACCACAAGCATATAAAAAATTAGTTTTTAACCTTACATTAAGATTTTATATACGCTTAATAACAAATAAATTAACTAAAACAAAAATAAAAGAATTTTTAGAATATTAGATTTGTGATTATTAGATTATTGGATTTTTGTTCGCTCATAGTAGCACCCATCCCGTTGGTATCAGAGCCAGAGAGATCATGAGAAAGTATATAAAAATAAATTACCTAAAAGATATTGAAAATAAATAAAATTTATGATTTTAGAAATTATTGAAACTTATAAAAATAGATTAAGGTATCAGGTAAAATATAGTTCTAATATAGAAGAAGATAATATAGTTTGAACATATAGTAAAGACATAAAAGAAGTATTAGAAATTTTTAGAGTAATTAAAAATTTTCCTTTAGAACTAAAATAAAAAATAATTAAAAAGATATTATTTGAAGAATATATATATATATATATATTAGGAAGAATCCAGAGTGAAATAGATTTCATAGTAATTTCAAAAAAAAAATATTATGGAAATCATAAAAATAAATAATTATTATCAATGTATTGAAGAAAGAGGATGTTATATATTTTTCAACCCTATCCCTAATAAATTAAAAATAATAACATTACATGTAACTAGAAATTTACCTAGAGAAATAAAGGAACAAATATTACATAAATTAATTGTAGGAGTTATCAAAGATAGACGTACATATGAAATAATTATCGAAGTATTTGAAAATGAATTATACCATAGAGAAATATTTGAATTATCATAAAAATATAATGGAAGAAACTAAAAATATTTTAGAAAGAAAGTTAAGAAGAATAAGATTAATAAATAATAAAATTTTAGATGAATTATTAATACCTGGAGATATAACTAAAACTCAAGAAAAATAAATATTAAAATTAAAATAAGAAAGATATAAAGAAAAAGCAAGATATTATGAAAAATTAAAATAACTAACAAATATTGAAGTGATAAAACAAAAGTATGATAAAATGATAAGAGATTGTAAAAACGTTGAGTATATAACATTTTATTATTGTCAATCAAAAAATCGATAAAAGAAAATGTCAATCAGTGATCATATGGAAGAATTAAAATATTTAATAAGAACATTAATAAATGATGTACAAGAAAATAAAGAATGAAATAAAAGAAGCAAGAAATGATATAAATATATTGAAACTTGAAGTCAGAAAATTAAAAGAAAATGAAGAAAAAAATAATAGAATAGATAAAAAATTTATAGAAAAAGAAATAACCAAAATAGGGAAAAAACATATTGAAAGAAAAAATATAATAATAGAAACAAGAAGCATGGATGATGAGTTTAGAAAAAATATATAACCTAAAATAATAGAAGAAGAGGAATCTAGAGAAAAAATGTTAGGTAAACAAAAAATTGAAGAAAATCAAGACAAAGAAGATGAATGAAGAATTAGATCTACTTATAGATAATTTGATCATTTAAGTTTAGAAAGTATAGATGATGAATACCAAATCTTAATGAATACTGGAGGAGGACATAATCCCGTAGGAACCTCTAAACAAGAATCAATAGAACCAGATGAAAGTTATGCGCCGATGTATAATAAACCATATAGACAATTTTATGATAAAATAAGAGATAAACAACCGACCAAAAGAAATAAATATAGTAATAGATTTGAATTAAATAATAATTATGATGAACTTTTTAACCATGGAGGAACAAAATTAGACTTAGATTGCAAAATAGATACTAAGAAAGCCTTAATAACTTAAGCAGACTCAATGATATTATTCTTTTATATAATAAAGATGATACATGAGAAAATACCGAAAGGAGAATAGATTTTTTAATTGCATCTTCTGAAGGAAATGTTAGAAATTGATGGGAAGGAATTAGTAGTGATACAAAATCATTAATAAAAAGAAATGTACAAATAGAAATAATAAAGTCAGATAAACTAGGAATAGAAAGATTAGTAGAATATATTGCAGATGAATTCTTAGGAGAAAATTGGTTAAGAAATTATGAAGAAGAAGCAATACGAGAAAAAGATTATGCAAGAGTTAAGTTAATTAATTTAACAATTTGTGATATGTGTAAAATTAAAAAATATACTTGTGAATTCAAGGAATACTATTATACTCAATTTTATAGTAATGAGAATCAAGAAGTATATCAAGATATGTATTATAATAAATTATCGGGTTCATGGGGCATATATTTTAAAATAGAATTTGAAAAATATATTAAAGAAAATATAGGAATACTTAGAACATTAAGATGAAGAATAAAATTCTTGTTTGAAAGACTTGCATATATATGTCAACAAAGACAATTACTGAAAAAATCAGGAAAATTAACTAGAATATGTTGTGAAGATATGAAA